GGTAAAAGGGGAATTGAACGTAAGTAGAGAAGAGACATTGCTGGAAGTGGGAGCAGAGGAGGTAATAAGATATTATTTTATATGTACTCCCGGTAACCCCACGTCATGTCCGTCCTCGTCCTTCATATTCATTTATCTCCAGCAACTTCTGCACACAAATATATTTATCTTCACAGAACATCACCGATCACAGAGTCTCCATCTGACCACAGAGTCAAGAAGATTCTAGAAGTCACCAGGAAGATCATTGAGCTGCTGACGGGAGAGGTGAGCGGTGCCAGGAATTCTGGGACATGATCCAGGAACAGACAAGGGGGGTGTCTGGGTGGTGACTGTATCATTGTGTGTGTCAGGTTCCTATAAGGTGTCAGGATGTCTCTGTCTATTTCTCCATGGAGGAGTGGGAGTATCTAGAAGGACACCGGGATCTCTACAAGGACGTGGTGATGGAGAATGCCCCGCCCCTCACATCACCGGGTAAGAGGAGAGAGCAGTACGGAGGGTCCACCTAGATCCCCCATCATCTGATACACACATAGAAACAATGTATTCAGTCAGTGTGTGTGTTTCCTACAGATGGATCCAGTAAGAGGAACACACCAGAGAGATGTCCCCGTCCTCTGTATTCCCGGGATCCCACCCAAGAAGATCTCACAGTCCCCCACCATGATCAGGTAAGTGCAACTAGCCATGTACACCTAAAATAAATCTACAAGATGACATTCTTCCCTGTGGTCTATTTCCTGTGTCACAAATGTATCGTCTTTGGGTTGTAGGGTGAAGAACTAAAAAACATGTCAGCTGAGGTGAAAAAGGAGGAAGATGAGACATTGGTAAGGGGGGATCAGCAGTCTATGGAGGAAGGCAGTCCTCTGTATTCCCGGGATTCCACCCAGGAAGATCCCACCATCTCACATGAGGTGAAACAGAGAAATCATTGCTGATATTTTTGACCTGATCATGATCCGTGTTGTTACATCTGATCTCATTGTTCTCAATATACAGAGTGATTGTGATAATGACGTTAAAGAAGAGATAAAAGAGGAGGAGGAGGTTGGTGTGATGGAGGAGCTTCCAGAAAACTACAAAGACCCCTTCAAGGACATCCTAATGGAGTCATTAAGTGACACAAACCCACCAGAGAGATGTCCCCGTCCTCTGTATTCCTGGGATTCCACCCAGGAAGATCTCACCCTCCCTCACCATGATCAGGTAGGTGGCACTCGCTGTATAGAACACAGAAGTTATATAGTTAGGTTGGAAAAAGACACAAGTCCATCGACTTCAACCTATAGAGATAAGAAGAAAAACCTAAAACAGAACGCTGTGCCCACAGTTGCCCCCTGTTGATCCAGAGGAAGGCAAAGAAACCCCCTATAAGCACGGTTCAATTTGATCCAAAAGTGGGAAAAAATTCCTTCCTAGCCCCATAAGGCAATCGGATCAACAAACTCTGATGCTTAATATACCTGAAAGAAGTCATATCCAGTAATATTCTGTGCATTTAGGATCACATCCAGGTAACTGAGCTCGCTAGAACCAGCTCCTGGGGGAGTCTATTCCACATTGTCACAGCTCTAACTGAGAAGAATCCTTTCCGTATGCACCTCTTGTCCTCCAGATGCAAAGAGTGCCCCCTTGTCCTTTGCAGTGACCTTAACGTGAATAATTTGGCACCAAGCTCACTATATGGAACATTTATGTATTTATACATGGTGATCATGTCCCCTTCCTAATCGCCTCTTCTCCAGAGAGACCACATTCAGGTCAGTTCATTTCTCCTCATAGCTGAGCTCCTCCATGCCTCTTATGAGTTTAGTCGCCCTTCGCTGCACTTTCTCCAGTTTCACAACATCCTTTTTGTGAACTGGTGCCGAAAACTGAACTGCATATTACAGATGAGCTCTTACTAATGCTTTGTACAGGGGCAGGGTTATGTCTCTCTCTCTGGGGTCTATACCTCTTATAATACAAGGAAGGATGGAGACAGATGAGGTCTTACTAATGCTTTGTACAGGGGCAGGATGATGTCTCTCTCTCTGGAGTCTATACCTCTTATAATACAGGGAAGGATGGAGACAGATGAGCTCTTACTAATGCTTTGTACAGGGGCAGGGTTATGTCTCTCTCTCTGGGGTCTATACCTCTTATAATACAAGGAAGGATGGAGACAGATGAGGTCTTACTAATGCTTTGTATTGGGGCAGGATGATGTCTCTCTCTCTGGAGTCTATACCTCTTATAATACAAGGAAGGATGGAGACAGATGAGCTCTTACTAATGCTTTGTATTGGGGCAGAATGATGAACTTTGGGAGGTGACGTTCTTCTATAGAGTCTCTTGTTTAGATGTTTTACCTTATTTTTAATCTGAAGTGCAGTCACTGCTCCCCCCGATCATTTCCAGCTTCCCCTTGAAACCCCTCCCATTTTTAGCACACCTTAAGAATTAATATACATACCTTTTTTATTCCACGAGTCTTGGGTCCAGTCATGTGACATCATGGGTCCTCTCCTTGTTTTCCTCCAATGGTGGGCATGTGATGATTGCCTCCCTCTCCCAGTCCCTCTCCCAGTCTCAGCTTTGCTGTACAGCATCTGATATCAGGTCACTTTCAGGTACTTACACGGCTTGTATTTATATAAAATCACATTTAAAGTTGTATTAATGAACGCAGAGCTGCCATTATTTCTCTTTTATATCTCTCCCCGGAGTTCAGCTTTATGAGATGTTTTCTATTATTTTGGGGTTTAGGGTGAAGAACAGAACAATATAAAAGCTGAGGTTAAAGAGGAAGAAGTGGAGACGTATGTGGGGGGTGACCGGCCGTCCACGGAGGAGGTCTGGATGATGATGAAAAGTGATCAGGATGACATTTCTCTACCGATCAACACAAGTAAGTAACAGACACTACGGAGGGAACAGGTCACAGTTCTATGTCACTTCTGAGTAGAAGGAGTGAGGAGCACGTCCAGGTGATCAGATGTTGTGTCCCGCAAATACACACGGGGGAGAGAAACTGAATTTTTGATCCAGTAGATCATTAGGAAAAGTTGTATGACCTGTTGGCCAATGTTTAGAAAATTATTTCAGCAGACTATTTCTCCTTCCAGTCCTTTGTTCGTTGCTCCCTACTCCTGGACTTCCACTGTGTGTAGCGGAGAATATCCTCCATGTAGAGCCGTGTCATCCGGGGAAGTAATGAGGAACAGGGACCACGACACTCTACTTTTGTTGTCTTTAAAGTACCATTGAGGTCCCACCACCTATTCATAACGGTTTAGGGGAAGATGTTGAAAACCATATGGAAGGTCCATCTCCATTCCTCAATATAACGTCATGTGACCAACAAATGAGGGGGAGATACTGTACACCATATGAAGGTCCATCTCCATTCCTCAATATAACGTCATGTGACCAACAAATGAGGAGGAGATACTGTACACCATATGAAGGTCCATCTCCGTTCCCCAATATAACGTCATGTCCCCTACAAATGAGGGGGAGATACTGTACACCATATGAAGATCCATCTCCATTCCCCAATATAACGTCATGTGACCAACAAATGAGGTGAAGATACTGGACACCATATGAAGATCCATCTCCATTCCTCAATATAACGTCATGTGACCAACAAATGAGGAGGAGATACTGTACACCATATGAAGGTCCATCTCCATTCCTCAATATAACGTCATGTGACCAACAAATGAGGAGAAGATACTGGACACCATATGAAGGTCCATCTCCATCCCCCCCATAGCGGTCATGAATGAACAGTACAATGGTCTCCGGGGGGTCAGAGGTGTTTTGGGGGTTTTGTCTCCTTTATCTGGTTGGTTTTCATATTTTGGGGTTACAATTGTACCCAATTCCATGCCAGAGCTCTGTGATGACTTCTAGACCAACATACATGACTCTGATTACTGACGTGTGTAATGATTTCTCTCCAGCAGATGGATGTGATGTCAGGAATACCTCGGAGAGACATCTTATATTATCTGCTGATTGTAAGTCAGAAGATAATGTCATCACACAGGATTCTCCAGGAGTGAATCCAAACACACAAAATATACATCACAGACCTTACTGTTTGGAGACATCAATGGATCCCTCTGATCAGGGTGAATCTTCTGATCATTCACATACTATGACTGGAAATATCCATCTAAGATCTCACACTGCAAGAGATCCATCTAATCCCGAGGAATCCTCCACACCCCATGAAGGAGATCACAGAGGTGAGGATCCATTCTCATGTTTGGGGTGCGGGAAATCCTTCAAGACAAACGCTGAACTTCATATACATCTCCGATCTCATACCAGTGTCATTTATACATGTTCAGAGTGCGGGAAATCTTATAACAAAGAAAGCGAATTTCTTCAACACCAGAAAACTCACTCAATGATAAATCATCAGTTTTCATGTTCAGAGTGCGGAAAAAGTTTTCAGAAGGAAAGCAGATTTCTTACACACCAGAAAACTCACACGAGTAAGAAACCTTATTCATGTTCACAGTGTGGGAAAGGTTTTACTAATAAAAAACATCTCCTTCTACACCACAAAACCCACACAGGAGATTATCGTTTTTTATGTTCAGAGTGTGGGAAGCCTTTTAGTCAAGAAAGCAAATTTCTTACACACCAGAGAGTTCACAGGGGTAAGGATCCTTATACGTGTTCAGAGTGTGGGAAAGGTTTTACTAATAAAAAACATCTCCTTCTACACCAGAAAACTCACACAGAAGATCAGTCTTGTTCATGTTCAGAGTGCGGAAAACGTTTCAGTGCTAAAGATGCGCTTCTAATACATCAGATGATTCATACAGGTGTTCGACCCTTTCCCTGTTCAGAGTGCGGGAAATCGTTTATTCAGAGAGGAGCTCTTTATAGACACCAGAAATGTCACACGGGTGAACGTCCGTATTCATGTTCGGAGTGCGGGAAAGCATTCATTCAAAAAGTACACCTTGTTAGACACCAGATATACCACACAGGTGATCGTCCTTATTCATGTTCAGAGTGCGGGAAATGTTTTGCTGAGAAAAGATTACTCCTGCAACACCAAACAATTCACACGGGTGACCGGCCTTATTCATGCTCAGAGTGCGGAAAAGGTTTCATTGATAAAAGCAAACTTCTAACACACCAGAGGATTCATACGGGTGAGCGTCCCTTTTCCTGTCCAGAGTGCCGGAAATCGTTTATTCAGCAAAGAGCTCTTAATAGACACCAGAAAATCCACACGGGTGAACGTCCTTATTCATGTTCAGAGTGTGAGAAATCATTTATTCAAAAAGGAGACCTTGTTGAACACCAGAAAATTCACACGGGTGAACGTCCTTATTCTTGTTCAGAGTGTGCGAAAAGTTTCACTCAGAGAAGATTACTCCTTTATCACCAAAAAATCCACATGAATGAGCTTCCTTATGCATGTTCAGAGTGCGGGAAAAGTTTCAGAAAGGAAAGATTACTGCTTTTACACCAAAGAATTCATACAGATGACCGCCCTCATTCATGTTCAGAGTGTGGGAAACGTTTCACTGAGAAAAGATTTCTCGTGTCACACCAGAAAGTTCACACTGGTGAGCGTCCCTATTCATGTTCGGAGTGCGGAAAAAGTTTCATTAGGAAAGGTGGACTTACTGAACACCAGAGCATTCACGTCCATGAGGGTTCTTTCCCTTGTGCAGAGTGCGGAAAATGTTTCATTAACAAAAGAAAACTTTTTGCACACCAAATAATTCACACAGAGTAGGGTCCTTTTTTTTTGTTCAGAGCGTGGGATCAGTTTCACTCGGGAGAAAGCTCTTACCGAACACCAGAGTCTTCTTACTGGTGTGCTTCCATAATTATGTTCAGAGTGTGGGAAAAGTTTTTCTCAGAGACAAGTCTTTGTGAAACATCATTGATGTCTGATGTGTAAAGTCTTCTCTCGGCGTCGTCTGTGTCTCGGGGACTTCGATGGTGGGACATTTCCTCATCACTAAGGCACAGGTTGTTTTAAAGGGCCACACTGCCAGAAAAGCGTTGTACGTGTTTTATTGAATTCACCCCCATTTTGTGTTCTGGAGACTTTTCATCATTGCAATGTAAAACTCCAGAAGAGACCGGATGTGATAAGAGCTTCATATCCTTCCCTCGTACATTCATTCCCGGTGACAGGATTCTCCAGAAGTGAAAGTTACAATCTATGCTGCGAGCGGCTGGTCGGGGCTGCTCACTCAGATCTGGGCTCTACTCTCTGTACTAATTTGCTGCATCAGTTTCCGGGTTGTTATTCATAATTTATTTTATCATAATGATAAATATTAAATGTCAGGTTTGATTGATGGAAGTGGGCGGAGTCACCTGGGCCGGAAGCGCTGTATGTAAGAAATGTAACTTGCAAAGTTCAACCAATAAAACGTTTGTACACAATGTGCGGGAAATGTGCGATTTGATTTTTCCGTCACGAGGACGGAGGTCCATATAGAGCAGGGGTGGGGAACCTCCGGCCCTCCAGCTGTGGTGGCACTCCAAATCCCATGAGGCATTGCAAGATTCTCACAGCCACAGACCTGACTCCCGGAGAGAGATGCATCGTGGGATTTGTAGTTTTACCACAGCTGGAGGGACAGAGTTTGGCCATCCCTGATGTAGAGGATTGCAGAGAACAGATGACTGTGGTGGGTTGGAGCGCAAAGCAATCACGAGCCAAGGGTTAGTGGCCAGGCGAATCGCTACCGGGGGAGCTCGCTCGGCGTACGAGAGCTCCCCGGTCTTGGACGCTCCGGGAAGCTGATATCTGCCGCAGAGGAGTTTCCAAGGTCCGGGTTCTTCGCGGCGATCGCTGTAGGCATCCATCAACGGAACCAGATCACCATACCACTCCGGTAGTTCCACCAGAGGAATGCCCAACGTGGAACAGAAGTCAAGTATGCTGGTTCTCTGAGATTCACCGCGCGGCCCAGCGTAGATGCAGACAAGCAAAAGGGAAACCGCCAACGGTAGGAGACATCATGGCGGCGTAGTTAGGGTTCCCACCTTTTCTTCAAGCGAAAACCTGAAACACTCTTGCGCCACAAACTGCTTTTTTTTTGGGGGGGGGGAGAATAGACAGAACAGAGCCAGGGGAGGGACTAAGGAGACCGGCTATAGAGGACTACAAATTCCAACCATACAAAACTCAGGAGTTTAAAGGCTAGTATTAAAAATACAGGAAGTACAATGGAGCTCACGTCCCCCCCCCCCCTACTTCCACCTCACATACATCTCTGATATCATCCTGTACGGCAGGGGTCTCAAACCCCCCGGCCCTCCGGCTGTGGGTGAAACTACAAATCCCATGATGCATTTCTCTCTCCGGGAGTCGTGTCTGTGAGAATCTTCCAATGCCTCCATGGGATTTGTAGTTCCACCCACACAGCTGCAGGGCCGGAGGTGTGAGACCCCTGCCGTACAGATATGAATGATGGAAGTGGGCGGGGTCACCCGGATCTGAAGTCCTGAATGTCGAAAGTGAACCTGTGACGTTAAGAAAACAATCTTGCACAAAGTGTCAGATTTGGTCTTTCCGTTGTCGTGACGACGGTGAATGTAGAGAAGAGAAGATGGTGGGCGGTCAGTGCCGGTTCCTGCGCAGCACGTAAGTGGCATCTAGCCCGCGTACGCCCGCTACCTGCTGGTCCGTTATAGGGAGGACGTGCTTGGTACGTCTTGACTTGTTCATCTGCTGTTCAACAGGAGGGGTGTGGCATAAAAGATACACAACATCGGCTCCTCCTCCAAGCCAATGACTGATTTTCAGGTCAATTCATGACCAACAGAGCGCCCCCTAGTGGGTTCCCCAACACTATCAGGCAGCTCTTCTACCTTTCTAGTGTTCTGTCAGCACTCGGCCTTTTCACCCGGCAGCAGCAGAGAGAACCCCGAGCATCAGTCAGCTCATAGATACCCGAGTCCAGATGAGACTAATAATGAGGTCCGGAGATGTGGAGCCGAGACGGTTGTCAATGGAGCTCCTGAAATAACTGCTGGCTCCCGGATTGGACGGACCGGCTCCCGATCTCCATAGGAACTGGTCCGCCCCTCCGTCTCAGGTTCAAGTTTCGGACCGCGGACTCACGTTCTCATCACGCAGAATTAAGAGGTGACTCGATGACTGCGAGCTGCCCGGGCCCGGAAGTAGCAAAGCAACCCTGAACTATAATATTTCCACCACCGTGCTTCACAGTTGGTATGAGGTCCTTCTTCTGAAATCCTGTCTTGGGTTTGTGCCGAACACGTCTACCGTTACTCTAACCAAACTACGTTGTCTTTGATTCCTCGTTCCACGAGGCCGGGTCTTCACCTATATGGTCCATGGCACGCTGTAGTCTCCGTCTAATTTTGGTCAGTGAAGGTTTTTTCCCGGCACACGGCGTGGTGCAATCTCTCTCTGTATATAGTCGTATATGCCGTGACAACCATTGTGCCAAATGTTACCAGCAGGTCCCACATTTCAGTGTTGGGTTCCCCGGGGACTTCTTTTGTCATCTTTTGGGCGACATTTGCTGGTCGGCTCGTCCCGGAAGTTGTCTGAAATTTACACAATTTGTAGATCATTTTCCTTCCGGCGGAATGATTGAGTTCCAGTAATCCGGCCGCTGGGACTCCAGGAAAAAAACGAAACCTTTTTATTTTACTTTTGATTGGTCCAACCGAGTGACCTCCAATTGTGGATATACAAATGGCCCCGACTCTCTGACGCACTACATTACGCAAACTGCGCTACCGACCTGAGAGCGCGCTGTCTCTTTGGAACTGGAGTCTCGTTTTTCCCAAACCGAGGTAGACGTGGCTTTCCGGACCCCGAAGACGGGTAAATGCGCGGGCCCGGATGGCTACTCGCCCCGGTTCTACAAGGCGCTCTCTGATCTGGCGTCCCCGATTTTGACATGCACCTTTAACTCCATAGAAGATGAGCACCCTTTTCCCTCCACTAGACACCTGTGTCGTCCCCAAACCTGGTAAAGACGCCTCCCCATGTCCAGCGGTGTATTTA